GTTAGTTAGATTTAGACAGGGTTAGTTAGAGTTAGTCAGGGTTAGTTAGAGTTAGTCAGGGTTAGTTAGAGTTAGTCAGGGTTAGTTAGAGTTAGTCAGGATTATTCATGATTAGTAAGGATTAGCTGGGTAAGTCAGGATGTTGGAATTAGTCAGAGTTAGTTAGAGTTAGTCAGGGTTAGTTAGAGTTAGTCATGTTTAGTTAGGGTTAGTCAGGATTATTCAGGATTAGTAAGGATTAGCTGGGTTAGTCAGGATTAGTCAGGATGTTGGAATTAGTCAGGGTTAGTTAGAGTTAGTCAGGGTTAATCAGGGTTAGTTAGATTTAGACAGGGTTAGTTAGAGTTAGTCAGGGTTAGTTAGATTTAGACAGGGTTAGTTAGAGTTAGTCAGGGTTAGTTAGAGTTAGTCAGGGTTAGTTAGAGTTAGTCAGGGTTAATCAGGGTTAGTTAGAGTTAGTCAGGGTTAGTTAGAGTTAGACAGGGTTAGTTAGAGTTAGTCAGGGTTAATCAGGGTTAGTTAGATTTAGTCAGGGTTAGTTAGGGTCAGGTTACCTGTCGGTTGTACTCTGCTATGGGCTCGTAGACCTTCCAGCCGTCCACAGGAAACTGCTCCTTATACTTGAAGGCAAATGAAGCCTGAGAAGCAGCAGGTTCAAATGTTTGGACCAATCATCAAACTTTGCAAAACATTTGTTAAAAAATTAAAACCAAACTAAAAGTCTAGAAAACACGAAAGCATGGAAACGACCTCTGTTATGTTTGTCTGAGAAAAGCTTTTAGAGCCTTTTATTTCAGACTAAAAATGTGAGGAATGTAGAATATTCCTCTAAATTCAATCTATATAAATGTTATTTTGAATGATTTTATCCATCTGGGTTCGATCACCCAGCAGGACAGATGATGAGCGGCAGACCAACCAGGCTGTAGGACAGAGGGAAGGCGTGCTTGGTCAACACCTCCACCATGTCCGGCTGGTTCTCCTCCGGTTTATAGGTGAACAGGGCGCTCCTCATGTCCTAACCAACCGCAAAGAACGACCTTCGTTAAATCAGGGATCATTGATGGGAGATGATTCACAGGAGCGTCGCTGGTTTACCTTACAGACCAGCTCAATCCCCTTGGTGTCGTCTTCCTGGTTGGGAACAGGGATGGCCTCCAGGCGGCTGATGGCTCCCAGGTTCACATCCAGAATGAAGGAGGAGTCCTGGATGAGAACATCAGCGTGTTTATAGGAAGAGCAGAACCTCAGAGGAACCTCACAGGAACCAGAAGGAACCAGGAGGAACCTCAGAGGAACCTCAGAGGAACCAGGAGGATGAGGTTCTACCTTTACAGATCCGGTAAAGTAGAGCTTGTAGTCGGTGACGGTCAGAGTGCCGGTGATCAGACCGCTGAAGGGACAGATGTACATGACATCCTTCACTGAACATCAGGTCCCAGGAGACAGAAGCAGAGAGGAAGGTGAGTTTAGCTGCTTGGTGCAAAAAGAACCAATCAGAAGATGGAAGACCTTCAGGAACCTGTGATCTGGACGGTTTCTCCTGGCAGAAGAGGAACCTGGTTTGGAGACAGTTTGACCAGTGGACCAAATCCTAAGGTTGGACGGTTCTGAGGAGAGCAGAGATGAGTCACAGACTAAAACCAGTGAGGAGAACGGACTGGAAATGGACCTTTAAAGCTCATAGCTACACGTTTACTCCTCCTGGCCATTAGGTGGCGCCTCGCGCTCTCCTGCTCTGTTTGTAAGCTGGTTGCTAATGCTAATCCTTGGTTAGCATTAGCAAATAGATTCAAAAGGAAAGCGGTAAACTCTGCATTCCCATTAATGATTTACCGTTTAAATAATGTTTTTATATGTCGACATTCAGTCGATGTCTTTCAATCATCTTTGGATAAAAACCTGTAGCTTTGATCTTTAAACTGTAAACAATCGGAGACAGAAAATCTTTGATGAGTCTTTTCTTCCACATTTGATCTAAAATGTTTCTCACAGACAGCTAAGATGACGTAGCGACCTAGAAGCTAACAGTTATATTCTGGATGGTGGGTGGAAGTCAGAGTACCAGGAGAGATCCAACACATGCAGGGGGAGACCATGCAACATGACCCTGGGCTGGGATTCAAACCGAGGACCTTCTGGCTGCAGGTCTACAGACCGTCTGTGGCTCAGTCTGTCCAGTTCCATCAATATGCTGAACAATACCTGTATTAAGGTTAGCTAAACCGGTATTAAGGTTAGTATAAACCTGTATTAAGTTTAGCTAAACCTGTAGCTTCCAGGTTAGCTAACCTTAAAGCACTGTGTAAAACCACAGAGTTTAGTCTCTGGATGGAGTCCTCCATCAGAGAACCAGCTGAGGGTCAGCGCTAACAGCTGTTAGCTCAGTTAGCTCTGGGGTTCAGAGAGCTGATTATTCACGTGAAGGATCATTGAATGAAGGATGAGATGAAGGGGGACAGAACATGGTTACCAAGGAAACACTTGCCTCATCTTCATCTGAGCTCTGTAGAGGAGGGAAAGAGGGAAAAAGATGGCTGAAAGGACAGATACAGTACAGCTGATTTAGCCTGGTTAGCCTGGATAGGAACCACCTAGCATAGTTAGCCTGGATAGGAACCACCTAGCCTGGTTAGCCTGGATAGGAACCACCTAGCATAGTTAGCCTGAATAGGAACCACCTAGCATAGTTAGCCTGGATAGGAACCACCTAGCATAGTTAGCCTGGATAGGAACCACCTAGCCTAGTTAGCCTGGATAGGAACCACCTAGCATAGTTAGCCTGGATAGGAACCACCTAGCCTGGTTAGCCTGGATAGGAA